ATTGAACTAATTTTTTACAGAATGAATTTCACTGAAGCAAATACTGGGAGAAAAAAACCCCTAAACATTTTACATGTTGTTATTTATCCCTGCCCTTGCCACCCAACTGATAGCATACCTCTCATTTTCAACTTAAAAGGAAAAAAAAAAATCTGAAAAAATGTCAGATCTTGAACCTGAATTTCCCCACTATAATAGCAAAAGTAATTCTAAGATATTTTGATTTTGAAATATACTTGCATTTGTAAATCTTGCAAGACCAAGACTCTAAAATATGGGATTATTTTTAAGAATAATGACACTTTAACTTAGGTCCAGGTAAACTTTGGCCATTAAGACCAACATTCTGGAAGATACTCATATTTTAATATACTTTAGTGTACTTACAAAACAGTAATCAGTGCAAGAGTGAGTTAAAGCCAGGAAAGGGTAGCTCACCACGAAATAGACTGTATTAAAGGACTTAAAAAAAAAAAAAGAAGAAAATGGGTAACTCAGGAATGATGACTGCTACCTTGAGACAACAACGATCTTGAGTTTTAAAATCATGAGTTGTTACCACTCGAGTTAAAGAAATAAAACACAGAAACTTCCAGAACACTTAAGAAACTAGTCAAATATTCTTTTCTGCAACAGCAACTAGGTGCTTCAGAGAATGGTATGAGCAGCCTCACAAGTGAACCAACGTGATACTATAATACACAATTTTTCTCTCTTCCTATTTTTTTATAGCAGGAATAGTGTTAAGACCTGATACAATGTCTTCTTCAAACTCTGTAAACAAACCTGGATACTCTTGTTATGTAGTACCTGCAGGATAAAGATGGGGCAGGAATCCACTTTGCAAAACACAGGGCAGTGTGAGACCCAGTGCAGAAGCACTGAGCACCATGGAGCAGCCCCAGGCCCAGCACAGGGGCAGGTGGGTTGGCAAGCACCACAGGGGAGACAAGTGGCTGTGTGGGGCAAGAATAGGGGGCAGCAAGCAGCAGCAATAGTGGGGCAGGCACTGGAAGGGGCAAGTTGCAAAGGGGAGTAAGTGCCAGGTGGGTGGGCCAGACCTGACCACTCCCCCATCCCCACTACCACTTGCCGCCATTTGCCTTCCTGTCATTGCTTTCCCCATTGTTGGGGGGTGGAGGAGGCAGAGGGGAGGAGTGCAAATTTAAGATGACCCCCAAGGTAATTCTTCAATGTCCTGGTTTGGGCCGGGGTGACTGTACTAAACCCATAAATCTAGATGAAGCCACATCACTGATTCATATAACAGCATTATAACAAGTCTCCATTTCAGACAGTATGTTCCCTAAAACCTTGTTTCCATCTAGGAAAGAGACAGTTTACAAGGAGAAGTCAAGTTGAATCCTGTATTTCCTGCAATGCGAAAGTATCCAAGTGTGGACGTATAGAAGAATGCAATGTGGAAGTACAGAATGTGGACTGCAACGTGGAAGTGGAACGCAATGTGGAAGAATGCAATGTGGAAGTATAGAAGAAATCCAGAAGTGTGACATGTTTTTAGAGCAATAGAGTAGCAGTCTTTGAGTAATATAAAAAATCAAAGTAAGTTAACAACAGCTCATATTGGTGCCTGAAGAGGTAACAATCATAAAAAAAAAAAAAAAAAATACATCAACCTAAAGCTGTTACATTCATAGCTCTCATTAAGTGAGATACTACAATATTGTATTAGCCAGAGCATAAGAATGTAGTTATGGTGAAGATTCTGGCTGTGATCTGTTGCCATTACTGAAAATTGTAGCTATGACTTCTTGTCTTTACTAGAAAGACCATTTTGAATTAAGGTCACTTTTCCTCAGTAACTGAAATTTCTAAATTGCAATTCTGCCATATATATATATATAGCCACACCAGGCTGTGACTGGACTATTTCTTGATTGCTGTTGAACTCGGCTTGTGTTCAAGGTGATTAACACATAACCAAATTGTCAGAGTTGAAGGATCCTTATTGAGGAAACACAATTCCCATAAGTCTTCTTGAGGAAAATAGATTGAGAATAACGTTTCCATTATACAGCTAATTTACATTACAGATAAAGATAAAAGCTACTAACTAAATTATAATATTAATTGTGATAAATTCACACAATAATCTTAGGATAAGATCACAGCTTACCACAAAGTGATCTTACTTTCTGATAACAATTTGCTAGTGTTAATTTAAATTTTTTAAACTCTATATTGTGACAAAGATTTGTCAGATTGTCTTTAAAAATATTTCTAATAAATCAAGAACATATTTAGGTCAGCATCATATCTCATTACCTTCAAAGAAAGCTGAAAGGGCCCTTACAGACACACAATACTAGATAGATACAGGTTACTATTTGCTATATTTACTATAGTATGGAAGTCCCAAAAGTAAGCTTTGGTCTGACCTGACTGGAGACAGAAACAAGTACCAGAATAACTGTTTCTTTTCAAACAAATTACGCAAAGACTCTTAAGACATATTTAAAAATTCAAGCAGAAAACATCAACAGCAAAAATACTGAAAAATAACTCACCTCCTCTAACAAGACAGGAAAACCAGAATGTACAAAAAGTGGGTTTGACTTAGGGTCTTTTCCGAGTTCAGCAAAAGGTAAAAAAAGGAAACGTATTTTAAAACTCCCCCAAAAAACATTAAGACATCCCCAAGCTACAGTATGAATTATAGAAAACCAGGAACATGACTGAAATTGTTCACGGTTTTGTATAAAATAAACAGCTCTAATCATGCCGTAAAACAGTTAAATGTTCCAAGAGCAATTTAAACTCCACCATTTCACACACGCTGTATCTTCTGTATCTGCTTCTGAGGTTATATGTTTCAGTTTACAAACATCATAAAGCCATATAAAGCATAAAGGAAGAGCAATGTGACCAAGCAGAAGTTCCAAAAGCAATAACTTGAATATTTAAGGAACAAAACCCCTACAGGCAGAACAAGCAAGTCAACTGTAATCTTAATGATGTATTATATGCAAAACAAAATATTCCCCTAAAACAAAAAGTTTAGTTGGGATAGTATTCTTTACTCCAGAGCAGCATCTAACAATGGAACAGACCCTTACATGAAGGGTAAGCAGCACCACCAGCAGCGGCAGCATATATACTTATTTAAAAAATGCTACTTCTATGCATGTCAAAACCTGAATGGACCATAGAAATTAAATGGTCTCCAATTTTTAAAAAAATATTTAAAGCATTATCTTGAGTGTTATTAAGAAAAGTTATTTCTTTTGACTTGTAGAAGTTAAAATAACAATGTTGGTTGAGTCACTTTATCATTTATTTTGAATCCAAAGCATATTGTGTGCTTTATAGTAAGACACGCACAGAGAAGATGCCTTTTGTGAAACGTTTAAGATCTAAACAGCCTAATGGAAACTGTATATTGGAATATGTTTAGTCCAAATTTTCTAAACAAGTCGATAAGAATGTTTCCCCCTCTTCACATGAGATGAATAAACAGGCTTTTTTTGTTTAGTTTAGTTTTGTTTTTTTAAGGGGGGGGGCGCAGAGAAACAGTCAACCTAATCAATATAAGTCTCCTCCACAACATTTTTTTCTGTACTAGTTTAGTTTTTATTTGGCTAAAAAAGTTGGTGAAGAAGCTTCTCTCATTCCAGATTTTTAAAGATATAAATCACGATACACACCAGACCATACTAAAAAAAAAAAAAAATCTAAAAA